TGATTACTGCAGGTACCCGATGTGGTCTATTCCGTGGTTGTATCGAATGGATTGTTCCCACTCCTGTACAATTTCAATGAAAACTCTCTGTCATTTAGTATTGAGTGTGGACGGGTAGCGCAGTAAAACGCGTCTGTGCAGACGACTATAAAATTTTTGATAGCGTTTCGCACGCGTGATGTTTTTCCCAGGTGGGTTAGGGTAATAAGCCATTTGCGAGTTCAATTTGAATAACATCTGGTATACCGTGTTATCTGATTGCACAGAAAGGTAACAATTTGAATTTCCTAGACTAAAGACGTCGTTGCTATACCTCGTGATTCGGGGCAAGCTTTTGCATAGCGACCACCATCTCAGGAATGGTGGTTCCTTTGTGCCGTTCTTATCCATTGAGAATAGGGTATTGTTGCAAGGCGTCTCTTATCTAACTAAGCGAAAGCTTGCCCCAAATCACGAGATGTTAGCAACAGTGCATGGTTTTAGTTTGGAGAATTCAAGTTGTTATGTTCACGTGAATTTAAAGAACTCAGTGTACCAGATTTTATTCAAATTTAACTCGCAAAAATTATTGGAATATCCAAACCCGTACGCATGCGTGTTACTCGGAGAGATGACCTTTCCTGACACGGACGTCGTTGAAGCTACCAATAGTAGAGTGGCGTTTTTTTTTAGTGTGCGGAGGTTTGTGACCAAGACACTAACCAATGGAAGACTGGCACTGCTATGATCTTTGATATTTTTGTCGAAAATATTAAATAATTTCAGTGCACCACATTCAATTAGTACCCAAGAGTAATACTGTAGTGATTAGCAGGAACAAACTTTTGCAGATGGTGTTCATGTCCCATGTAAATACGGAAGAAAGCGTAAATTGTGGCTCAGTATAAGGCTAACAGACCTGACGGTATTGCATATAAAAGAGGCTTCTATCCAAATAGTTATTCTTTATAAACAATTTTTTAATTTGAAAACTATTTTGAGGGCTTGTATTGATTTTGATAATTGCCTACTGGATTTTATTTATTTCTTTGTAACAGAGAGTAGGCCCACAATTGGAATTATTATACTTTCATGCAGTGGACTCCCTGTCAGACTAGTGTCAGGGTTTTGGAATGGCAAATTTTCTCCATAGTTTTAAAGTTCACGCACTTCATGACCTGTCAACTTCATTTGGGGGGGGGTCAGGAACGTCTCAAAACGCCCTTCGGGTTCTGTTTATATGAAAGGTAACCACCAGAAATCTACAAGTGAAATGCGAAGGACGGTCCTTCCTGACATGCCCGAGGATCGGAGTTAGTCTTGCTAAATGTTCTGCACACTGCAGCATCACAAAACAGCCTATCCTCCTCGTGTTTCAGTTCTTGGGAAAGAAAAACCCTATTCTAAAAATTCTATAAAAATTTCCAAAAAGGTCTTGGCTTTCCCTCTCTTTTTGTTGAATTTGGTTCCACAAAAACCAGGCAAGCAACAGACTTGACTCAAGTCAGGATCTCTGGACGTCTTCGTTTATGCTTTGGATACATATCGAAACCGCGCGTCGTTACTTGCTTCGCGCCCTATTGTGTCTACCTATTGCTATGAATTCAGTTCAGAATCCCGACATCACTAATCTGCCAACCGTTTGTACACAGTGAATGGCTCGTCTACCTAAAGTGGTAGCAGCCGATCACATTGCCGGACTTATTTCTACGTCGTTCGTACTTGTATTATAATGAACGAGTCTACATGTCCTTCATATGTAATATGATTAACTACATTACCGTCGGGGGGTCCAATTGGCTTCAAGTCGGACTTTCCGACTGGTGACGTATTACACACGTTGTACAATAAAGGTTGTCAAATGAGGGCGCCCTATAAGGGTTGTGTGAGTTGCCGGCTGGGCGTGACGACAATGTAGTGACGGTGTACAGACTGGAGGAAAGGCTGGCAGGGGAAGAAGAAAAAATCTGACTTGATTGAAGTCTAGCCAAACTCTTGCTGAACGCTAACCGGCCTACACTGAATTTTGGACTTGCATTCGAACCCATGCTTTCCTTCGTTATTACATGGGACACGTGTTTGTTCCTAACCACAGTAACCTTTGGGCAGTAACATATTTAAGCGAATGTGGTGCATTGAAATTATTGAATACTTTCGACAAACATATCGAAGATATATGATCGAAGCTGTCTTCCATAGGTTAACGTTTTGTTCACAAACTTCCGGCACGGTAAACAAAACCCCACTGTACGTATACGTCTGGTAGCTTCAACGACGTCCGTATCCCAAATCTTGATCTCTGGGGTCTTGATGTAATAATTACCCCTAACCCTCCCAGGAAACAAATTACGTGGCCCCTTGTGCACATGCGTGCACAATTATGAATTTGCATATACTAGTGAAAAGGTCTATCCTGCAGAGTGAGTGTAAATGAGGAAACGATGCCCGCTCAATGCACAAACCAAACAGGAGCTGATAGCATCATTATTTTCCTTTTTCTTCTTCATTACCAAAAACCTCCACTGTAGCTTGTTGATTTATCTTAAATTTAACACAATAACCACTGATTTGAAATGAATTGGTGTAAAATGATATATCGACGAAAATCTTGTAAAAATATACATGTATTACCTTACTGTGATCGACAGAGGCGTACCAAGGATAGGTACATGTACTTGTGTTTTATTTGCTTCTCGCTGTAACATTATTGGTCTGACAAAGATTTAAATATTCAGCATCCAAATTGCAGGGCTTATCGCGCACGCTAAACAGCACGTACATGTAGCTACCGGCCCCTATATATACTTGTATAATAGGGACGGGGACCAGTCCAAGTCCCTATCTCCATGGCTCTTTTCAACCGATGAGTGGCGCCTCTGCACCAGGGAGATAACGTTTAATTCTTCTGCTTCTGCTCCATACTGTGCAAACACCATTGAAGTGTTATAAACGTGCAGGCGTAGTTTTGGCAGTAGGCAACAATTTAGTCAAGAGGGTGGGCGTGGTTTACAGGGCCTTGATATCCAGGGTCAGGTGGCTGGATTTGTGTCGCCAGTGGAAGCTTCCAAAATGAGGTGAGGGGGTTGGTTCAAAGACTTTACGTGGAATATGCGAGTATTTATGTCCTTTTTGGTGTAAAGAGGAATGAGTCTGGAGTTTTGTATGCAGCCCCTAGTTAACCTACTAGGAATTTTATCATCCTGGAAAACTACTAGGCCGTTCAAGCAAACTGCCCGGCGTTCTTCCAGGAGCATCCACTCTATAGTTTTTTCAACATGGTCGACTGAACGTTACACTGACGTATCTCAATTCAATCGGGATACTTTAAAGGACAAAAATTTCACAAACAGGAAGAGTCTTGAAATTGCAGTCAGGGCGAAAACCACATGGCGTATTCCTAGAATGATGTGCACCAACAAGATACCGCGCTACATGATCTTCCGTCTAAATCATGTATTGTTCGACTTTGGCACAGCTGTCGCTTGAACCTCACCATCGAAATGTCTAAACATAACCGACAGTAGCCGAAAATCGGAAAAATCAGAAACGAGGGAATTCTTCCCGCTTTGGCTACGTGAAAGTGGGGGCTATACCGGACCTAAAGATTCTCTCAAACCAGATGGAATCTTTTCGTCCGGGAAATTTAGTGTTGTAAGGGACCATCACCGACTGAGGGCGCAATTTCCGATCGACGCTACCAACCCAATTAGCCTACGCTGACCAAAAACAATGATTTCTTTGCCCTAGCAATTCTCTGCTATGTGTGTTTTTTCTCGTTTATGCACTGCGTAGTTTGTAGGGAAACGAATAGTGGTAGTTATATAAACTGTACTTTCAACTTCTGCAAAATATGGACTAAGTTTGGCTCCAATAGTGTTCTTTTGCAATGAAGAGGAGAAAACACTCCTTGAAATTTAACAGCGATGGCCTTCAGTGCGATTTTATTGGTTCTTATCCTTGAAGGGTATTTTCCACAGAATCTTCTGGGTATCCCTAAAACTCGAAAAGAAAGTGAAAGATGGTGAAAATATTTAAATTAAGTTAATTTTTTATGGGTCTCTTAAAACAGAGAGTTGCATTTTCCCAGCACTGTTTTTAAAGAATGTTTTCACTGTCTTCGGCAGTTTTAATCTGTCTGCAGCCAAATTAATTCATCGAGGGAGAGAGTGTACATCTGACCAAATCAAATCTCAGCAACTGTTCCGCAGGGGACAATGTCCAAGATTTCGGAAGAGGATTTATTTGATTATACTGGAATCGCTATCAATCTCGTAGCCAATTGGAAAACCAACTAAGGAGCCTCTGAAGTAAAGCATCTCATATGACAGTTCAACGACTCTTTGTCTTTATATAAGCATAATTACTTCTAACTTTTGTTTCAATTTCTGTCTCCCCCACCTTTCCCTCTTCCTCGATCTTGTTTCATAGTGTGCTGGGTGTGCAGGTACAGCCAAACCTCGTTAATATTAAACTACCATTGTGATATCACCCTACACAGCAAAGTGTCGATTATTCCGAAGAACAGAACACTCTTTTCACAAATGTACGCTTAACTGTAAATTCTTTAAACATTACGACCAAGATTGACTTCACAGACACAGGAATTGTAGTTGTGACATGGAATTATTCCAACGTCGACCAGGATGAGATTCAGGTCTATGGATTGAAGTTCTCTCTGCATTTTTCGATTTGCCGCGCTACTGCTTTCTGTATTTCTGTTCGGAGGCAATTACAGATTTTAATTTAAAGTGAAACAATCCTTTCATTTCACTTAAATTTTCAATGTGTTTTGTGTTTTCTTTTCATCTACACTCCTTCCGTTTTATATTTTTGTTTTCATTTTTGTCATTTTAAAAAATGTTAATAAAAGTATATTTTTAAACATTATTTTTCCTTATGTGTTTCTATATTAAGCCAATGCACTTTCAGTTTAACCCCAGTTTTTCCGTCACCAAAGTAAATGATTTCTAAAAATAAATATAACAACGACAACTACAGAACGGATAAATGCAGAAACTTACCGGTCAATACTTACCATATGATTTTCCAAATGCATGTATTTTCCAATCGAAATATTTTCCTACGGTGACTGAGGGACTTCGATGAGTGAGCATGTAAATTCCGACGTTATAAACGTGGTCTTCATTGAAGAAACCGTGAACCGTGGTGGTGTAAAGAAGTCCCCAGCTCCATACAGTCAAGTTACTGATTGCATTTCATGTCTTGAATCTAGCATATTTCTTCGGCTAACTTGTACCTCCATTTGGAATGCGAATATAAATGAAGACAGAGTACACCCTTTACGTGTGATTACGCAAACACTGTAAAGCAAATACATGTACATGTACAGTACATGTCACTGTGCACCACGCCCAAGAGTTCCACAATAACAGCCAGGGAAAGGATCAAGCTTTAATGTACATGTTAATGCAGATTAATGTACATACCTAACTAACTTTGGTCTGGACAATGCATCAAGTCATCTCACGGCTCAATGAATCCGTAAAACCTTTTTGTTCTCTTGTACAATGGAAAATAGTGGAGGATTGGACGTGAAGTTGGAGAAACGGGATTCTTGGCTCAGACGCAAAGTCTCCTCGCCTATTCAAATCAATGAATCTTCCCTGTTTTTGTGTTCTTAATACAGCGTTGTTTATGGAGCACTCTGCCTATAACAAAGGAACATTTTAGGTCCGGATATTTCGTTGATCGTTTTCATTCCTAATGATACACGTACAAGGTCGTGATATGCAAAGTTCGAAGGACCTCTAATTAACGAGGTCGCATTTCGGCTGTATCTTGTGCTTGTGCAATCATTTTGGTGTGACTTGTTTTCACTCTTTCTTGTTAACAGTAAGCGATGCTTTGTATCTACATCTTATGTGTATTGTTGCTTATTTCAAAATCCCTGTAATTGGTGTCCTCGCGCTATTGATGATTTTAAAATAAAATAAATAATAAATCCTCACATAGAGTCTTTCTAATTTGTGAGCGTCTACAAAATCATGTACATCGTCCACGCAGCCCTTCCAACAAAATAGAGTCATAATGTCAATTCTTTTCTTAAAAATATAGCACATAATATTCTTTAATTTTTCATGTATACAACGGTTTGCAGAAAACAAAACAATTACGTCACACGACAAAATGTCATGCAGTACATGTCAGTAAAAACCACAGGAAAAATGCTCATAAATGCAACGTAAAGAAATTATGTATATATCTACAAGAAAAGACTTAATAATCTGACAGAATTACGAGTCTTGACAGAAGACATACGATAGAAGAGGTCATTCTTTCAGAAATTAACAGTGAACCATGCTGGGTTTTATTATCACTGATAAAAAAATGGAGCTTCGTTTAGTGAAAACACAAACAGCGTCTGTTGACAGCGGAAGTATTGTTCGTGAAATATCAACAACGGATCAGCACACACAAGACGGCACCGTTCCCTAAATTTATGTTTATTTAAAAAAAAAATAAAATACATAACAAAAAGGTTTCAGGGACACTCTTCTCATGAATTATTGCCGAAAGGGCCGGCTCAACTAAATTCAAGCAATTCCAACGTAGCTTCAACCGTGACTGCCGCAAAAGGGACCGAAATTTGGATGTGCATGCCATCTACAGTACACCACGGTTTCAGCTTTGAAATGGGCATGGGTCTTTGATCACATTTCCGCGGCTTCAGTTCATTCACACCAAAAATCCACCACGTCGGTCTCCAAACCAGTATCCTATCCACTCTACCTTCCATAACACATCAGTTATCCCCTGGGCTTTCAACGTGATGATTTCTGTTCACAAACGTTGCACTACAGTGCATTGATAAAACCACTTCTCCATTAAAAAAAACAAAAAACAGAAACAAAGTGTCTGCGGTTTCAGAAAAGTATTCCCAACCTCCCTGCATATGCATAGTCACCATGCTTCTTGACTTGAATCTGAAACCGTTCACTGAAATAATCAGATTGGGTCAGTTGTCACTTTCAGAAGAAACACAGTCAGCAGGATCACGAAAACATGGTAAAATATTAATTAGTCTCTGTAATTTACCACGATGTCAAGAATTCAATGTGTTTGGTTTAGAAGACGTCCAAGGGATTTATGTAAAAAAACATAAAGCCGAATCAAAGCAAGTGCTTTGACGCTCCATTTGAGTATTTTGAAAGATGCATCAACTGTTATTGGACGAGTGAGCCATCAGAACTAACTTGTTCGAATAAATTACTCTGGGGCTAAGAATGCGAAAGACAAAGGGAGCGGCATCGTGGAACTGCCGCGCCAAGTTGGTACTACGTGTATATGGAATTGGACAAAGTGTTGAGAACATCGACAGTTTCCAGACAAACAAGGTTAGAGGTTAGAGTTGGTTCCTGACGAATACGAAGTGTAGAAACAAAGGGCTCCAACGATGTTGGAAAGAGTTTGGAGTGATCTTTCACGGCAGGACTGGAAGTGTCAAAACAGAAAGTTCCACGAGGCCAGAGCTTCAAAGCCACTCACCGCAGATACTCAATATGATCAACAAGAAGGCGACAAACTTGTGTCTTCCGACAAATGCCGATAACACGCTTAATAATACTTTACACCATTTTGCTCTTAAATTTATATCTATAAAAACGGCAGACTTTTCAAAAGGAAGCCTGACCATCATCTGTACAAGTTGGCAGTTGAATATAGGTATATCTGTATCAAATATACAAGCGGGAAGCCTAGACTTCCACCAGTCCTCACTGCTTCCCAATGCCTCCTGATTTTACATAACTGTCAACGTGGACTGCTACTATTTTGCGAGGCTTTTTAGTTTTATTAAGTATATGTAACTTACAGAATTTGAGCTCACAAACTAAATTAGACAAAGGGAGGTGTCTGGTTAACAGATGGCTAAATCAGGCAATGATCTAAACGTGATTTATGTGTTTGTATGTCAAACATGACTCAGACTTGAGAGAGGAGCAGGGGTTAACTTTAAAAATACACAATAAATTTTAAAAATTCTATACAATCTCTTCTAATCACTAAGTAGATGATCGTCATTCTTTGAAATGCTGTCTGTAACGATAACAAGTTTTTAGACGTCTCTCCAATGGTTAAATAATTACTTGAGGTAGACATTATTCCGTTCTTCAATATTAAGCTTTTTCTTAACCACAGTATGTCGATAGCAGACACTTATAAGAGCTTAAGCAAGCAACGTCCTTGACTTTGAATAATTTAACTTCAGAAAATTTTGAGTAGCAGAACTGCCCTTACGACTGTAAGAACCCTGGAAGATTTTTTTTTTCCTGACAGAGTGTAGCACTCTCGGTGCAGCATTTCATATGTCGTATTTGCTGTTTGATGGAAACTTGAAATCATGACAGATGACTTGGTGAATCATGATACCGTCACTTCAATTAAGGGGATACTATTCTCAGCTGGTGCTACTGACCAGTGTGAGCCAGGGTGACTGCATTCGGGACAGGTTTTCTCTTCCTCTATTGACTTTCCCCTTCGCAGTTTTTAGGGGTTTCATTTCTAAAGAGAGTTTGTAATTTAAGAATCCAATCTGGGGAACCCAACCACAGTCAACTTGTACATGGGGACCGGTACCCCATGCCAGAGATGTGGTAAGCTGTGGGCAGTCTTGTTGTTCTCGTTCTACTATCTTTTACTGAAAGTAGTTCTCAGTACCTGTACTGTTCTGAAGTTTACAGCGACTCAATTAACGATGACTTCAGTTTCTTTTTTTTCCGAAAAGGGTGGAGACAAAGTGATTAATGTTTACCGAATGTAGTTTAAAAAAAAAGGGAATTGCTCCTCAAACAGCCATTTTCAAAACGTTTTCTTGCATAGAAGTCAAACAGATCTAAGGGAGGTTACAGAATGGAGGCAAAAGTAGTCTGGCAATGCTTAGTTTGAAAATGAATGCTGTTAAAAAAAGTTGCATCTTCAAGGATCTAGACAAAGGTATGAGACAGATGGGTTTTAAGTACTGTTGAAAATTAATTAACTCAAGTAGGTATCACATTTTGCAGCAATTGGTAGGTACAAATTCCAGCTATTTCTGTTACACAGAAACCAGGAACTGTCGCATGTTAGTGCATTAACTCTAAAGATCTTGGTTTGCATACAACTGTAAGGTTTGGTATCACATTTGGTATAACTGCGTTAAAGAAAATGCCGCCAGATTTTTTATGTCCTTGAGCTGCTAAACTTCAAACTGTTGGAGAAGATCTTGCCGGACGTACACTGGAAGGGGTTCAAGCGCCAGGCGCTCAGTCTATCTTCTCCACTTTGCCGATGATCTTACCCTGGTAGATGGGGAGAACTGTCGCATCGTCCGAGATTATCTCGTGAACGACTCCCGTGTCAAACTCATCGCTCGGTGTTTTAAACGTATACCTGTTGAAAGCAACAAACAGAGAGATTTTTTTTTTCGTGAATGGATGTCAAATTCGTTCCCCCGTCATTCTCATTTCTGAAAGCAAGTCGAGTTGACATTAATCCCAAAAAAAGTGTCATGAGGAAAACAAAATTATCTGCAATACATTCAGCTATTTAATAAGAACTGGTATGCACGCGCAAAGGTGGCATTCTCTATCAAAAATGCCTCGCAACACAGCTGAGGTATGCATCCCTATCTTGTAACAATATCCCCTGCGTAGTGGCATTCCAGGTAGTTGGCAAAATGTATACAGTCCAACCACAAAATATTCTCCCCAAGTCACAACAACTTTGAGGGTGGATGTACACGAAGTTGTGATGTAGCCCTCAGGCCAGTGGGGAAAAAAAAAGGACATGAAATGAGATGGCTGAGACAGGTGCCGGGCCAACTGCAACTGTAGCTCCTGAGGCGCTGTCTTAAATGCCACAACAAATTTTTGTAGCAAATAAATCAAAGATGGCCGCCCTGGCAACCACTGTTCCCTCGACATGGGTCCGCAACCCGGGGTGCACTGTCATTACAGTGTTTCAAACGAGAATGTGTGTGTTCCAGATCATCAGAGCAAACCAGCCAATTAGAGCCGGCGGTTTCCAGTTTCAGCCCAGTCTCTGCAGTTTGAGGCGGCACCAATTACTGTTAATTTTGGTGTTGCTGATGACATGCCAGGGGGCGACGGTGGCCATCAAAGGACACCAGCAGGGGAGGGAACAGCCAAGAGAAAGCCTATCATTCCTGTTTCGAAGCCAGAGATGTGAGGGGGGACCATGAAACTAGTGGGTGGTGTGACCTAGGGCCAAAAATGCATCAACACATATTGGTTTTAAAAATTCAAGTTTGTTATACTGTTTGCGCTAAAGCCGATTACATGTACATGTACAGGATGCCAGCATTTCTTCTTGGGCATGAAAGTAAGCTAGGTTTTGAACATCAGAACGCTGACCCAAAGGCCACACTTGCTTGAGAAACCAAATCACCAACTTATCCAACCCCTGACCAACAGCACTTATTGGTTATTACTACCAAAACACAACCCTGGAGTAATCCCCTAGACAACTCTTCAGTTCGAAAAGACAAAACAAAACAAACAGACCTCGAACCAATGAATTTGAATTTCATGGTTTGGGATTGGCACGGCATAATACTGCATGCACGAATCATTACTAAACAACGACCATTTCAATGTGAAATTTCAACTAAATCTTTGCATTGCGTTCACTCATGAAAAAAAAAAAAAACCAACTTCAAACCAACTTAAATGGTTCAATCTTTCGAACATCAAAGTAAACAGAGTACCGATGCTCTACGACCACATCTGAGCTCGCTCTATCCCGTACACAGAGCAACAAAGCCTCCACCACTTGTCATTACAGCTAACACTGCTTTCAAAATCTATTCCATCCAAACTCCGGTCGATTCCCACAAGGGCAGATGGTGCTTGCCTACGCACTCCACATGATAATAAACACTAACATAATCCCTAAATCTCTTTGGAAGAACTGGAGGGACTAGAGACCACTTATTCTGTTTATTTTCACTCACAATCTGATTGAGCCGCTCAACTAACACAATTCCTCACTGATTAAAAGTCAACTGAATTAAACCCTTGTGGTACTGTCCAACATCTGAATACTGAGAGCTTTAAACAATGTCAAAATTGGGTCGTTTGTGACTGAGCCTTTGACGTTTTCCCTGTAACACCACAGCAAATGCACCCGTAGATTTAGACAATGATGCCCATTGCTGGCACAGCCTCCAAGTCTGCTAATTATGCACTTAAATACATCAGAAATCATTATTGGTTGGAATATGCTTTGAACTATCAAACTTCTGAGCTTGCATTTAGTGTGTGTGTGGGGGGGTCGATTAATAAACCAAATTGAAAAACGACACAGCTTTAGACAGAAATGACCAAAACAGGAACATACTTCAGTAAGAGATGTTTTAACAGGTTGCAAGACAGATGGTTGCGTGCACATGCGCAGCCCTGATGACCCCTGATGAGTACCTTGGCCAAATGACAACACCTACTCTTGTCCCTTCTCCAGCCAATTAGCAATTTCAAATTGCCTCTGGAGAGCTCGGCTTTCTCTAAACAAAATGCTCTATCAAGCGACGGACAGAGTGGCTGGCAAAACAATGAGATTGCATCTTTGGCCCCTGTGCCATCTCTCTTCCAGACTTAGGCCTTACAACCGCAGTGGGGCAGCACCAGGACGGCCATTCAGTGCCCTGCCTCTCAGATTCCCTGAGGGCATCCATCACTTAGATCACTTAATGTAGCAAAAACAGACACAGAAAGCCTTCCCTTCGCCTGTCTTCTCAATTTTGAAAGGAACAGAAAAGTGTTAAACCAACACACTGTTATGCTTTCCTCTCTGTATTTTAATGTGCTCAAACATACTAATGAATAAAAAAATGTTAGATTGTACGTCTTTCACATGAAGTCATACAAAAACTTTTCTTAGACTTCTTCAATTAATTTCGCTTCTTCCTGACGGCAGAAATACTTCACTCTGGGGGGATTTTCCTGAAGTAATGCATTTTACAGTTTTGAAGCCGTTCCCTGGTTATTTTTCGCCCGAATTTCTCGGTCAGTGATTCTAACCTGGCAGAAAGCAACGCCACCATGCCAGCCTTACCGGTACTGAGCAAAGGCCACGGCAGCTCCCTCGGGATGGCGGAAGCATCCTGGCAGAAATAATGCGCAGGAAGGGAGGAGGGGCAGGGAGGTAATCAGACAATGAAAACATCTCTCCAAGAAGACCACTCTCACGAAGCCTCCCGACTGTTCAGGGTCTTTTTAAACTGCCGCTCTCGAGACGCGGCCGACTAAAATCCGAAAACGCTTCCCCCTGAGTGTTATGATTAGTGATTATCTTCACTCCCGTGAATTTGAAGGAGTACAGAGCTTCTGTTGATGCGGTTTGGACCCTCCTCCAAAAACAGAGGATTCTTCTCTCGAGAGTTCTGACATCAAAGGGGCTGCCTACATGATAATGTTGAGTCCACAGTGTTTACTTTGGGGTATTCAAAATTGAGACGTTCATTGGGAAAATTGCCTCCCCTTACTGCTTCTTAATCTGAGCAGAGAGCAAGAGAGGAAATGATCAAGGATGGGTTGGATGATGAGGAGATTTGGTAGGGTTCTTAAGTGGTGCAAAAACAGGGCTGTAATTTGCTGCAATGTACTTTGTTTGCAATTGGAAAGCCAAATTCAATGATAAAGAATAAATCATTTGTAATAAAGGGACCCTCCTGTGAGTCACATACAAAAAGGAACAAGAAATTAAAGGGGCATGCATTGGTAATGCATTCTATAATTTGTTGCATTATTTTTTATTAATTTTTGCACTTTGTAGCTATTTTTCTGGTTTAGAAAAACTATTAAACATGTTTCTTTTAAAAATCTCACATTCTAAGTTCACCACTAGTAACTGTCACAAAGCACTCGAAGGAAAAGCTTATATAGTTCTTCCTGAACAATACGGTACCAGTGATATCAGGGTACCAAGCAGCCTATGTGGAGACCCCAGAATTCAGTCCGGCCCTAATCTCGTCTCTCATCAGCCCAAAATAACATCTTGGTGCAAGAGCAACACCTCAGCCAGTCTGACCTGACAAGCCTGCCTGGGGGGCATTAGAGGCCAACCAGTGGACAGCAGCGTGCTGATCCCAACAAAATCAAAAGCGGGGAAAAAAAGTGAGCACTCTGATCTCCTGCTGGATCTGTCAGTAACGTACAAGGCATCAAGTGCGGATGTGACTTCAGCTTCTAGAAGGCAAAGACCCTGAAGCCAGGAGAGGGAAACCGGGAGCCTGGGAGCTGGGGCAATTCCCTGGGATAGCGATATCATATTTCGTTGTCCTAGCACCTCAAGGTTCTTCCCCCCCCCCTGGATTGAGTGCCATAATGCGGTTGGCCTTCCTTAGTTGTTATGGTGTAAAAATTCACCCCAGCCAATGTAGGATTATTACAGCAAGGGCTAGACTGAAACTCCGTATCTGCTTCATTATCTGCAGCTTTCACTGTTAGATTTGCATCTTAATTCAAAGGGGCATTTCATGCCAACGTGAACTTAGTTATTCTTGAGGGGGGGGGGAATTAGTGTCCTACAGTAACGGCCATCCTGTACCACTGCAGAAAAGATTGGCACAAGCAATCGGGCATGTAGAGAAACATGTCAGGCAAGAAAAACAAGAGCTGTGTGGAGACAGGCATTTAATCAGGACCAACAAATCATAACTTGCACACTGGTATACCAGAATTAATTTCGGGAACAGCACCAATTCTGACACGGAAGCCAAGTTGGATTCTGGAAATTCTAAGGCTATGCGTCTCTTCTCAGGAGGAACAGCCATCCTCAAGTGCTTCAAACCAGAAGAATACTGATTGCATTTCACAGTCCAGTAACAAGTCTTGCGCGGACGTGTTCTTCACCTCCATATCAGATAATCACAAGAGGGAATAATGCCATGCAAATTCCATCTGATAAGCGGCGGATACCACACGCCAAAAAAGACGCTCTAAGATATGTGTATTTCCTTCTGGACTGTCCGCAGTGAGTGACCGGCCCATCAGCCTCGGCTGACCAGCCAGTGCAGCCAAGTGTGATAGGACTGTGATGAGGATGACAGCCCACATCCCTTGGGGTCTGTGCATCCTTGCTTGTGAATGTCCATCGTCCCAGCGTTTCAAATTAGATTTTATGACTGGGAATTCTTAAAAACGGAGAGGGACGTGCACTTAATGTGATACTGATCAGGTGAGCTCCGATTAGGAGTCAAATCATAACTGACAGGTGAGAGGCTTTTTGGGCAAGAGTTAAGTAAGGGGAGTTGGAAGTGGATACTTCTCCATGCCAAGAGCATAGTAAGGGATCACATGACATAACGGAATAATACAAAATGCCCAACAGGCAGGTTACAGACTTTGATTTTCTTTAGTCTTTAGATTTTTTAATTCAGTGACAAAGGAATGAGTAACCTTGCCAGCAGAACTCCTTGGCTGAACTTCATAGAGCTGTTAATTTGCAAGACCAAAAAAAAACCTAACCCCAATGCTTTGTAGCAACCACAGATTACTCGCCAAAAATCACAGCATGTACATTTCCAGCAAATAGTACTCTGCCATTTTATGCTGGGCAAAGAAATTTTTGAAGCCAGATTTTCCGCAGATCAGACCCCTGGCTAGGAAACTTGCCTAAATTCTTCTGAATCCTCCACTGCATGCAGACCTGTGTTATGTTCTCTAAGATGGAAGCAAGGAGCATCTCCAACCCCGCAAAATCTTCCTAAAAATCTCCTGGTGGATTTTGTGGGATCTGGAAGGCCAATGAGGGCCAATGTGTCGGCCTACCTGTAGTCTCCTTTCTTTGAAATGAGAGTCTTGAACTGGGCCAGGGTGATCTTGTCGCCGGGTAGCGTCGTTCTGTAGGGGATGGGGTCATTGCAGAAGTAGTAGGCCACTGTTGTCGCCGTTGTCTGTTTACCGTCTGGCGGGGCTACGCTTCGCTGCTTGGATCCACTCTTCCTGCTGTGGAAAAGATAAGGACAAGCAATTGTAACCACCATGCTCACACCAAAAAAGCTAACGGTACCTGAAAAGATTACAAAGTTGAAGTGATCAACAGACAAGGAAATTAAAAATACCCTCTTTAAGAGGTACAGATAGGAAAAAAATGTACTGAGCACTGCATAATAAAGGTAAGTGGCTGCAAAACTATGCACTCATCTGGAGATTTGGCTATCCCCCCCAAACGGCCAGCTTGTGGCCGGATTTCATTTTATTTACTGGTTGCCAACTTGGCGTTCATGCCACTGGTGGATTGAGCTGCTCTACATCTAAATCTCATCTCCTGAAGTTGTTTGCATTTCTCGGGAAGGAAACTCACACACTGAGAGGGCACAGCCAGGCCGTTGTGTTGGTTCCTTAACCGTAACTGCCCAAAACCTGCCATACTTCAACAGCAGGTTTTGTGAGGTTTTGGCAGGTTTGGGACCATACCTGAGGAACTTGTTNTGCTTGATTTTGTCAGGTTTGGTAGTGTTCAGTGCAAGTCATCCTATACTGTATAGACCCATCCATACCGTATCACTCAAACTCCAACGGGCTCGTTCTGTTGGAGTTTATCAGGTTTGGCACAGTGACCTGCATGTACAAGTACATAGACAAGTACATGAACCTGTTGGATTTTGTGAGGTTCAGTATGCTTTCTAGTGCAGGAGCCTAGGGGGTTAGGGTTAACATGGACACCATGCCTACCCTATGACTGTACATGAACTGTACATGTACATAACATCTGTGATGCTCATCAGTGCTCAGAACGACCGAAGAAAACTTGGACAGAAACGTGGTAATATCAAAACAACGTTGATGATGCTTAATTTTAATTTTCTAACCTACATCTGGGGGGGGTTCTACATCACATAATGCACATACTACATTTGTGTCAGGTGTAGCCTGGATTTTAATTTCCCCTCTGAACAATGGGGAAATCTGTCCAGAAAGGCGGCATTCAAGCCTCGCTTTTTAACCTGCCGTTTCTCAATGCACAGCATATCCATCACACATCACATGCATTAGCAACACACATCCCCTTTAGAGAGGAACTCTTTGTCTCTTTTTTTCCATTTTGTTTTTCTCGGAGGGGAAGGGGAAGTATCTTTCGGCATAGGCTATCAGAAGGGAACAGGGACCATACTCAACTCAAAATTGAAAAAAAAAAAAAAAATGTTTAGAGAGTTAAATGTGTGCCATAGCTGACTCCTACGTCCACTCAGCTGCAAACATTGAATTCAACATGAGCTCAAGGATTGGCCGAGTTCAGGCATCTTCACAGCACACTGTGCACACATGTACCATTAACTACAGTGATTTGCTTTTCTCTTTTTAGGGGAGAATGATTGGGGGGGGCGGCTAGGAATATTTTCAGTTGGTTCTGAACAGAATTGTGACTCCCAAGTCAGAATTTATTCCCTCCAAGTTGAATTGACCGTTAAAAATCCAGCTACATCACGGCAAGTTTTCCGCTCTTTCTGCATCCTGACAAAGCATTGTCACTGTTGTCTAGACTTTTTTTTGTCTTGTTCAGCACCCGAAATTGGTTTCACAACTGAGCAATGAAATGAAAAAATTTCATGTTCATGACAACAAACATTCCATCAGGAACGGCCACCAGCACCTAAATTCCATTAGTGCGTGTTTGTTTTTCATTTTACTTTATCGCCAGCATTCACGGGAAGCAGTTGTTTTCAAAGGCTTTCCAACCCCAGCTGAGGGACGCTGTGAAAGGAGTGAAGAAGTAAAAGCCAAGCTGGGAGAGGGAAAGGCGATAGGCTGGCTGTCCACAACGGAAACAACACAAAGGCACAATACAGCCTTTGTTCCCTTTCATGATTTCACAGATCCAGGAAATTCATCAAAAAGGAGGCAGACACTAATTTTTGTGCGACGCTTGCTAGACAACAGCAGTAATTAATCTCTGCAATGCAAGTATCTTGTGTCGAAAGACAGCAATGGGCTCTTTTCAGTGTTTTACACGCACAGAACTTCCTCAAGAATCAAAAGAGCTTGGTACTACGGTGTTCTCACCATTAACACATGCTGAATTGTATGCACTATGTCAGCTTGCTGCATTCCTTTTGTGCAAGTTAGAATTAATTACCAGCATCATGCCTGTTGTGCCTAAAAACACTTGCTGATTGAAATTTCAAAAGTCAATTTTTAAAGTGATGGCATACTTGTACTAGCAGGCTAAACGAAGTTAAATGAGAACAATGCATCTTCTAACATATCACTTTCTTAAACATGACTGCCCAGGCTGTGTCTTTGGGACGTGTATGAAAACAGGCAATAGACAGTTATCATGATGCTGCCGTGCTTGTCTTGTTCCCAGTAGACCCATTGGCAGCAGTAATACAACTTCATATATTCGTTTGGTTCCATTGCTTTGAATGGTAGAAAATTAAGACGGCTGTTCCATGACAAAGGTCTATAGCCAGCGTGAATATAACATTAAAAAGCAGCAGGATGGAAGACATTTTTCTCTTACTGGTGTATTAGAAGTTGGATTGAAGATCTGGGGAGTGCAGAGGGATAGTCTTGTTCCTATATCTGTCACATATAGGGTATAAACAATAAAAAAAAAACCTACCCTTGATCTTCCGTGGTATCTGACAAGACCACAGGGGCCATTTTGGCTGGAGCCGAGGTCACACGAGTGGGCGGGTTGTTGCTGGTGGGTCTCCTCTCCTTGCGCATCCCATCCGAATGCCTGCGGGGAGGGCAAACATTTCAGAGAGGTCGGTGGAGATCAACTACACGTACAATTCAATGCAGTGGCTTGATTATGCACGACTGAAATTTGACGTGGGTGTCGCATTTCAATAAAAAGCGACTACACACTGGAATCCCAACAAACATACACACTACTGATACTCATTCACCTAGGTAGGCCCAGGGCAATATGCAATGTTACACAGCAGATTTGATCTCTTTATCTGCTCGATTATCGTGCTCACTTCCATGTCATGCAGCAGCATCCAGCAAACTTGAGTCTTGAGGTTTCTTTTCCCCCAGTTACTTGTTTTTATTGTACATTGGCAAGAGCACACTGAGCTTTTCATTTTTAACTGTGACATCGCAATAAACATGGAAGAAGTGCAGAGAGCAAGTTGACGCCACCAATTTCTTTCCTCTTCGCCTGAAAACTGATTTGAATGCTTGCCGCTACAAAGGAGCTCTGGTAACTTGTGACTTGTTGTGTCACGTTGGATCCAAGAGCAGCATTCGACCTAATGTATTCCAACAGCATTCGGGATGGAAAATATACAGACATGTTCCAGTAAGCATGGAAGGATAACTTATAGTGCACACTTAGACACAGTGCAAGGATAGCAGTGTGACATCAGATATTAACATACATCAGTCTCAACAGGGATCTGTGCGGTGGGGTATGAGGCCTGAATGGGGTCTGGGATTGAATCAAGCACCTGATTGCAAGTTGTAAACTAGGGCAAGTCACTTTACCTCTCTGCAGGAGTGATTGTGTACCTGTTAGGGCATTAAGGGTTATTCTGGTTTGCCATCTGCACCTGAAATGCCAGCACTGGGCCATCTCCATTTACTCTTCAGTGAATTGAAATGGTTACGGGAATGTTCAGACGATGTAAGCCCAATCAGCAAGGATAATAATACATTACATAGTTGAATGACAGGAACTGTTCAATACTGTGAATCTTGTGAAGGTTGTGATGTAATTACTGAGTTGACCTAACAGTCCTTCGACAGGTGGACGACTGGGGACTGTTAGGGTGGAAGAATTCTTATGCCAGATCTACCTTTGGCGCTGCTTGCTGGAGACGTCTATCCTGCGCCGCACCTCCTCCAGGACAGTGAGGGGCTCGGGAGGCTTGTTGAGGGGCATGCTGGGGTCCTGCATGATGGGCTGGGTGGGCAAGTGCGGGGAACTCCGCTGGGGCAGCTGTTTGGTGGCGCAGTAGGTCCGCTCCTGCGAGGTAGGCCGCGACGTATTGTAGGCGATGGGCTTCTTTGGCATACTGCTGTCAAAATTGAAAATGTTCCATGAATTTACACGTCAAGTGATGCGCAGGAGAAGATCAATTTCGGACGAGACTGTAAAAATAATCAGGTGGCACCTTGTAAAACCTTGAGGTAAACCATAGTTACTGCTTTTCCCATTCTACCCTTGCATGAAAACAATTCTCCACTTCATGAACTGCACGGCTATCAACACAACCACAAGCTTCACCTTCACTGACACTCAGTGAGAATGCTAATATAACTCCAGCACATATCTCCATTTTTCACACTCATGTAGACAAAGGGCACATATACAGCTTTTTGCAGTGAGAGCTCAGTCTCACACCAATGACGAATGCGTGGATATTACATGAAAAAGAATGTCGACAGCTTTTACAGACTGTTCATGTTTTGTTTGAGGGACGACCACTCAAAAGACTTGATTTGGTGAGTTGTGTCTTAGACTGTATCTCATGCTTATTTCCCATAATCACTGCAAATTACTGGACAGAGTGCTCAGTACGAGAGCTGACCTTTGTCTGTGTTGTGGCATGGAAGATGTCTGGGTGATATCGGGGGACATGCGATGGCTCGTCCGACGGTATGGCTTGCTGACAACCTGCTTGCTGTACCTCTCGCCCTCCTCAATCCACTGCTCGATGTGTTGCATCCTGCCAGGCAAATCATAAATCCTAGGTCCATTAACTTGTGAAAACGAAGGCGGGACTTACAACAAGGCATGAACCTCCCTGGTCACCCCCCAGCAAAATAAGTCATCATTATCGAAAAAGCCATTATGGGAAGGGCAATCCCCTGCCTGGGCTGATCCAAAGTTGTAATCTCTGATATCAGAATTCAGACCACTGTTTTTACGCACAAGTTGGTTTAAAAGTTCTGCTCTGATTATTTTTACACTCTTTAGCTTTTCAATTCCCGCTTGAAAGAAGAATCACTGAACACTTGATTTAAGGTGGTTTTACCTTTCGTTGTCTGATGGTAATGAAGGAGGACCCTCGTAAATTCCACTGTCCGTTGTCTTGGAGATGGAAGAAATATCAGACTTTTTGCTGGATTTTTTCGTTTTGACATGTTTCGTTGTGTCCGTTAGAAGGTCCATGGTTAAACTGTCTCCTCGAGCTCTGAGTTTGTGGTATATTGAGTCACCGGGTTCGCCCGTCATGACAGCTAATGTTCTCTGCGGCACAGCGTCCATTTCAATCTTGGCCTTGTGCTGCATGAAGTATTTGTAGTCGGCCAGCGACATCTCCGGGTCGACGTTGTAGCCCGGCGTGTACGCCTCCTTGGTCCGCTGCCTCTGCATGGCGTGCTTGCTGTACTGCTGTGGCAGCTGGTGGTGGGGGATCACCTGCTTGGTGGTCATCCCTGGCGGGACCAGCGGCCCACCCAATGGGTTGGGATTCTTGGCCCGGTGCGCCCGCTCGGGCGACTGGGACCGGGGTGAGTAGTCACCTGGAGTGTGCCGGGCAGAGTCCACAAACACGCGGGAGAAGTGATTATCAAGAATGCTGTTGGGGTCATCTTCGGGTAGCGCTCCCTTCTCAAACATGGCTGCCGATATCCTAGGCGCGTCGGCCGCACTTGCTGTCCTGTCTGGGTCCGATTCCTCTTCCTAAGAAAAGAGAACACAAATCACAAAGACTAAGAACACCTGCTGGCTTGTATTACTCACTTTACTTTCTACTAGTAGTTTCAAAAGTGTACAAAGTCTACACATCCGTCAGTTACACGGGGTATGCTGTTTGTGTTTTTTCTGAGGTACATGTACGATGACAACAGAAATTTCAAATTCTTATGTCCGTCAAATGTACAGGCATTCCATCACACTTGAGCCATGGTACAACTTCTACCAGTGCAAGAAATAGGTTTTCTAGCAAACTCTCTTACAATTGAATTTAGCGCAGAGCACTCTCTTACCAACTGTTACCCTCCAACTTTGCACTGCAGTTGCATAGTTCTCAAAGGTCGTACTAACAGCCAGTGGGTGCCACAAATTAGAGATAATGTAATACTTTCCTTTCCCCTTACCTCCACTTTCCGTAACCTCGCCGAGAGCCGCTCTTCCATCTCTTGTTGTCTCAAGACCCGTTCCAGTTTCTCAGTCAAAATGCGTGCAAACTCAGCCGGTTCCATGGGCTGGACCTCCTTAGGTGGCCTCTGGGTGATCTTGTCAGACCACCAAAATAAAAAAAAGGCTTTCCTCATTCCAAGTTACTGACTAGAAAACTGCATTTTCAAATCCATATAACTAGCTGAACTGAAACCCAACAGATTGAGGATTCTGGAAGCTTTTTGTTTTTTTTTTACTAAGCCAGAATGTACATGTACACAGGGCTTACGCAGGCCAACACGGGTGCCCACATCAACGCTAAATCCATCCCAAGTTGAAGTGTGCCCTCACTGGCCACACAAAGACAGTTTGGTAGGAAATTTTCCTAAATAGCTCATGTACACCCCATGTGCAAACGCGATGAGCACACATTCAAACAGAAGCTGGTCCCCCATGCTCAGTGCATAGAGTGAAAAACACGCATAAAGCACATCAGCAGTACCCATCAAAGCAGAACTGCTGCTACGTAAAAAAAATGTCCTCCCATGTTCCTAGCCAGAACAGCTTCACTGCACTTCAGAACGCAAATACCCATTGTACATGCATCAGAGTCAAAACAGACAAAAATCTATTGTTCCCAGAGAGACAAATCTAATCACTCCTTTAATATTGTACTACATGTATTAAGGACCATATGTAACAACCAGTACGATCCTGTCTAAAGGTTTACTTGGCACTAATAGCAAATACATGTACATTGTGTGCCCAAATCTTACTTTGGAACAAAACCTTCATCGGATGACACAATTCACTGATGAAGAACTTGACAACTACTAGAAAGCACAAATTTGATACACGATGTATAGAGTGACACGACATTTTCTCACGAGAAAAGTGACATATGAATAGACTTGGTTAACGTGGGCCCGGCTTATCTTACAGGGAAGGGAGGGAATGACGTCACCCGTCCGTTCTGCCTGACGTTGGTCTTCATCGCCCTGTACTGTCTCCGTCGCTGTTGTTGTTTTTGATGTCTCCCTATCATGGGCCCACCATCACTGCAATAAGAGAAAAAAAAATGAGATTCCAATCACCAAATTATCTCTCGCTGAATGAACTTTGAGACAAAGGAGACTTGTCAAATGTTGCAACTAACAATTGAAATTAACAGTAAACAGGTGTCTTTCCTCCAAATTAAAGACTTTTATAAAAATACACTGTGAAATGATAAGCATTTTTTCATGTACGTGTATATCAAAAGAAAAGATTTCAAGTGCTGATCAGCATCATCTCCCTGAACAAAACTTAATGTCCAAGAAAATTGTGCATCAGCGCATATTTAATGAAAGCCACACTGTGCATAGACAAAGCCAAGTCAGACATTCAACGGTACAGGCCCAATGAGTGTATCTTACATATGATAACGTACAAATAGACACACTGTGTCTGCCTGCCTTCAACCAGACCATAATTCCTGAAATAAACTGTGGCCTGGTTTTCCCCCCCCCCATAAATTCAAACCCAAATGCACATGGAACTTGGGGTGAACGCCCTTCCTTTCTGATTCATTTGATGCTCGACAAGACTCCTCGTGCTGCTGCAGATTCATGGCATAACATGAGTCATTAGATGTGAGTACAGCTTGACTGTTCATGTAAACCAAACCTTGCATATCACAAGAACTACATGTACATGCAGATGTACAGTGTTACTTGTACAGTCCAAGTTTTCCCACTATACGTAAATTTGCATATTTTCCACCAAAACCAACACCTTACATGCAGCTTTTGCAATACCCAATCCTCTAAAAATTCCACCAAAAATCGTCTACGACAGGGACAAATAAACAGACAATAAATGCAAACCAGAATCTGCAAAATACGTGCATTGTGTAATCCTTGGCTATCTGTGATTGAGACAATTCATCAAAGAGCCCAAGACATCTCCTGCTCATCATCATCTAAGGCCGTCATGTCAGAGGTTAAGGGTTAAGACAAGGCACTCACCCTAAGCCTGCCGGCGCATGCACTATCGTATTACATGTGCATGAGCAACCCAGTGTTTCATTCACCTCTACCCACTGGATACAGAGGTACGGACAACTGTATCTAATTCAGGGAGAAAGCATCGTTGGTCAGTGAACCAACATGTCCCCTTTGGGAGGGATTAGTTGCCATGGCAACCCAGGGTTTTCCAACTGATTCTTTCCCCCAATGAAGACTGAAACCTTGCAACAAAAGCAGGTTGGGTTTGGACTCCAAGAGAAAAAAAAAACATGGCGGTGACGGTTAAGATTTGTTGATGCAGACGGAACACAGCATCACTTTTTTCAACAACACCCTATACATACATGTACACACGAATAGGGCCTACGTAGTTTTCATAGTTTTCTGAAAATTCTGCTCAAAATATTTTCTGTTATTTGATACACCTTAGGAATTTAAAACAACTGCCTTGAAATCTTATTACACGTACCTGTAGTTATTGGATTTACCTCCAGTTCTGACTTCACTTTTGAATCCCGACTCAATTCTCATGCATGTCTGCACTCTGTTGTCCCATCAATTATTGACAATTGTAACATGCACATAAATTTACACGGCCAGATACTCCGTACACTGTCTGAGAATGAGACTAGTTTCTGTTCTGTAAATCATCAGTGTGGATTTTCTTTTTAACTGTAAACATACGCTATGAGCAGCACCTAAATTTACTTGGTTACTTTTTCTTGATCTTCACTTGCCGCGTGACCACATCAACATGTATTCCATATGGCGCATGTACAAGGTATCTCCTTGTGAGTCAGGCAAATCGGTGATGTGAGACGAAATGTCATGTAGATTAAGAATTACGCCAATGTCCATCTGTTTCAAGCAAGAATACTGAAATGTATCTGTTCTAAACTATATGTGCATCCAGTGTATGTCTGGCAATAATTCATGTCATAAAATGCGCTCGTTCAGCGATGTCTGCTTGTTGAGTGGGTTCACAGATGGGTCATCCCAGGACGTTAGGCTACATCTGGTTATTTGCCTACAGTCTGAAGACTTTGGAGTAAATCACATGGCTATTCAAATAATTAGCCAGTTAATTTACATCATAAAAAGAATACATAGAGAGGTACCGGTATAATGGTGAACCATTTTGTTCATATTTGTGGAAACATTTTTTGCAGTATACAGCACCAAAAAAGTCTGGAAAATTCTCCCAAAATGAGTACACGTACATGTGTACCTACCCTGACTTTTATTCTGATGGTATATTCCCTTCTTTATTGTTTTAATTTTGTTGGGATACTTGCCAATGCTTTGAAAATAACAAATTAATCTTCATTTATCTTCACTGAAACTCTGTGTGGTTTCCATGTCACATCCACAACCCGCTGCATGATGCATAGCCCCCTAATACCTGTGTAATTCCTTGTCTGCCTAAGTTACTGCAAAAGTATGACTAGTTATGAGAAACACAGTTAGTGGGGAAAAATGACACACAAGTGAATTCGAAATTTCAGCTCCCGAGTCACACTTTGTTATCCGACTTCACGGAATGACCCAGTTGCAAAGTAAACATATGACATGTGTATCATTACAGAACATTACATGTATGTCTCCAATTCATCACTGTCTAAAGTGCATGCAACTTTTAATGAGCTCACATTGTACAGGTGAATGTAGGTACCGTCGTACACTGTATTTAGGTATAATTACTCGTACCTGTATTTTACACTGGTTTAGTTGGAAAGAATGCACATTCAAGAAGTCTGTTTCCGGAGGGGAATCTCACACCTAAATGTGTGTACATGTACATAGCACACATTGATTGGGAAATGTACAGTGTGGTTGACTTTTAAGACCAGTAGGGTATATCTGCATGGCTTACTGGTAGATGTGGGTTCATGTACATGTACATGACACCTGTACTTTGCTCCAAGTGTGGTACATGTACATGTATGTACATGTTCATGTGGACATGCAATAAAACCTACAGGTACAGTACATGTACATGTACGTACTCAATTATGATTCAAGCTACCGGTACATCACCGGTACATACCGGTAAAAAGTCTCCAGGGGTACACTGGTATTACAAGGGTGAAACGTTAATTGCTTCACGTTAAATGCTACCGGTACCCCAATTTTTTTTTCCTTCCATCTGAAATAATCTTGCAGTGGATTCAACCCAAATGGCTTCTTTACCCAGTGACTGGGGCTTACCATGCATCTAAGGCTATTGTGCACGAATCGAAGACGGCCAGCCCACATACATACATGTACATGTACCACCTGCTCTCCTGTCTCCCGGTTTCATTGGCCCACTAGACCGTACATGCAGGCTCTTACTGGCTGTTTTACACATGACTTGATGCTGCAGAGTGAAGGAGAAAGGGGGAGGAGTAGGAAGTTGGCCGCTTGGGAGAACGGAAGCGGGTGATGGGGGAGGGAGGTACAGTAAGGGTTGACATTAAAAGGGACGAGAAGGGGGCGGAGTTAGCATGATATGATTTCACTGCATGTACAGTATACACTGTACTCCACGTCTGGCACCATAGTTGTGGGGACATACACTCGACATTTCGCCTAACATGTATTTTGTGGGGACCGGAAAATGTTGCGGGGGCTCGGAAATGTCCCCCCAACTCCGTTCAAATTTCCCTAAAAAAAAAAAAAAAAGAACTTGTCCTCTGAACGCGGTGAATACCTACCCATGATTACATTTTACAAAGTATACCTGTGTTTCTCATACCTACATGTATGCAGGCCATGTTTTGCAAGCGCTGTGTCAAGGAAGCTACACGTATCTTGATGCCACATGTGGGAAGAGATTCCCAGCACGTGCATTTTAGATAGTAGTTTCTCTGCCTCCTGAAACTTGGTAAAGTCAAGTACATGCAACATACTACACATCATGCTATAGACGCTCCTGGGCTACAAAACCTCAACAAAGAAGAATGTTCTGGTTTAGTTTTTGAAAGGCACCCCTTATTTTGTTGAATGCCTGTAAACCTGTAATAGCGGGTCTGGTTTTTAAGGTACATTTATTAATTTCATCTGTTGTTTGGGGTTCGTAAAATACAATGGACTGGTAGAAGGTCAGAATAACTTGAGAAAAATTCACTATTTTGACAAGGCAAAATAACGCGCGATCCCCCTTCCCTGACACAAAACTGTGTCAGATGACATGGACTTTGGTACCTTCCGCTGCTAACCTCAGCAGTACTCCCTGGTGGAGTGGGTGGGACACAGACACCAGTAAACAGGTGGCCCTTCGGTTCGAGCCCCACCCAAACCAAGTCTGTGAAATTCCTCTCTTGAGTGCCTGTGATGCACTGCAAAAACAAATGCACCATTTGATCAGTTTGAGGCACTCAAGCCCTTTTGAACATTAAAAAAAAATCCATAAAATATGTACATTTGTGAGGACTCCTACATGTTTGACACAACACCACCCAACAAATTTACAAAGGCCTTTTCTTTAAATAATGAAACTGTGCATGACCTTGACCAAACCTTAACTAGATTACAACTACAAAATGTGATTTCAGGCATAAAGCAGATTTCCAACACGGGAAAAATCATTTTCTGTTTCTTCTGGACCTGTATTATGCTATCACAGTAAACCAATAACACCGGGCAAGCCAAGACTGATGCCGTTCTCATGATTATATTATCTTTCCTCTTTTTTCTTCTCGTCCTGTTGTCTGCCGTGACTCTACTTCAACAGAGCAGGACAGTCTTCCGGATGACACCAAGGGCCCCCCGGGGTTGCAGGCGATGGCAGGTGAATAGGCTTCCAGAGCTCTGCCAATCATATAACTCGATCAATTTCATACGCTGCTGAAGACGCATTTATGCCCGGAAGGGGAAAGTAGCCTGACCTTGTACTCTGCTGGACGGTCTTACCTCAGTCTGTCTTAACATCACTCAAAAAATTTCCCATCAAGCTACACGTACAATGTATGTGACAACTTCAACTTGGAAGGCACAAATCTGCATTGAAATTGCATTCTCTTCTTCATAAAAACAAAATTTCTTTTTGAACACTGGATCTTAGGTGACCA